TATATAAATATATAAATATATATAATGCGCTAGGACGAGATAATCGTCCCTTACGACAAGAAGACACCGACGAGTCTTGTCATTTTATAATGACGAAAAAGAATTGATAATTCGTTAATTTTATGTTGAGGGTAACCTCTTTATATCGAAAGTAAAAGTTTTACGGTCAACGGAAAAAAGACGCGATATTTCGTACGCTGTCGGAGTCGTGACTGATGAATATGAGGATTTTATGCAAGTTTGAAGGATATTAAGCGCGATTTATTTATTATTAAATTATTATATCAATAAACCGATATCTTAAATAAGCTTTAATTATTGATCTTATCCCTCCTTTTCCTCTTATTATATTAATTTTCCTACATCGCGTCGAAGTGAAATCTGTGCGCTTCTTGGAGCTTCTCGATTTTGTCTTCTCTCCTCTCCTTCCAATACAAACCGAGAATTAAAGACGTGATCAAAGCGCAGGTGCCAGATAAAGCTGCTGCGCTCAGTAAAATTAACTTGCTGGGCGTAACGAATAGCTGAGCCTTCCATCTCGATGGTTCAGCAATCGGATTCGGTATCACAACCATCTGTGAATTAGGAATAATTTGCGGCCATTCTCGTGATTTACCGCCAACCTGAAAAATAAATATATATTTTAAAAATATTCTATATCATTTGAAATTTTAGTAAAATCGAGTTACACCATAAATGGTAAGTAATTAATGTTTAATTAATAATCAATTGTATATGTATATATCTTAAATTGCACTAAATTTTAAGGTTTCTAGTTTCTCACTACTTGAATAATTCTTATGTATTTTTAATTGCTAAAAAAATTATAAGCTTGAAAAAGTTCCATTATTCACAGATTTTGAAAAATCAAGATTATTTTTGCAAAACTATAAATTTACAGTTTTTTTTTTTCACTTTATCGAATAAAATACATAAGAATCATCATTCAGATGCTGAGAAACAGAAATCTTGTAATTCAGTGCAAATTTGCATTGTTGCATAAGAAATTCAAAGCAGAGTTATTAAAAATTAAAGAGAGATGGAATTTTTTGAAAAGCATATTCTTTTAGTGTAAAAAGTCCTGCAAGAAATATCCGGAAACAAAAAGTTGATCAAGTTCCTCAGTGTAATGCTCAGTGTCCTTATATAGCAAAAAATAGAACTCTCTAGTCTCAATTTTAATCAACATTAGTGTAATCAATAGTTTTATTTGTGATTATAATTTATTAGTGTAACTGATGATATGGTTTTAAAAGTCAAACACTATTTTCATTATACGTACCCCTATCGTGAGAGCATCCACAAAATTGGGTGTTCTTCCTAAACCGAAAGTGGTGTACGGCAAATTAAGCGAGAAATGTGCGCTCTGGGGTAATTGCGCTGCGATTGCGTTGCGAGGACTACCATCCTGTGTGGTGGTTCTGTACGCAATTGACGGTCCCGGCAGATTGGTGCCGTAGGTCCTCTTTTTTTTACCGAGCGAACCTGGCGAAATGGGATACATGCTGTTGGTGCGTCCAGTGAGCACCATCACCTTAACAAAATTCGCGTCGTAGTCCAAACTGTTCTTGAACGCCGCTGTGCGATAGACGTCTTTTGTCTTGTCAAATTCGACTAAGATCACGTCCAGAATGCCGTCCTGATAAAAATCATAAAACACTGCCATCGCGGTCTGATTATAGAACGGATTCAATGCCTGCCACTTGACATCAAAAGTGCGATTAAAGCCGGCGCAATTATTGCACGCCACATTCTGCAATAAAAATGACTGCGTCTGTTTTGCAGACTGCAGAGTCGCTAGCAAATCTGGATAGCCATCCATGTTAAAGTCGCCACCGCGTAGAGTGATAGTCTCTGTGTAACGATGACCATTAGGCTTCACGAAACCCCACAAAACGTTATTGGGGTCACGGAAGTTCACTCGCAGATTGTACCATCCATTCAAGTACATCATTATCGTACAATTGGTACAGGCCTCATCAAAACACAATGGTAAAAGAAGAGCCATCTTGCCGGTCAGTTCGACATCCAGATAAAGAGTCTGTCCAAATTCTCCTTTGAAATTTTTATCGACTGATATATTATATGGAAGCTCTATCTCATGAGAAAATTTGAATCCTTTTTCTGTGCCATACCATATCTCGAAGGACTTCATCGTGGTTATCACGAGGTCCGGCAAAAAATCACCGTTCCAATCCAAAAAGGCATTGGAATGTGGGTTTCTTATGTGGGGTTCCAGTGGCATATGCTTGGGCAGCTCAACGGTATCTGGAGTAGTTCTATTCTCATTAAATATCCAGAACATCCTTGTGCCATTTTTGTCCACCCCAAAGAGATCAATTATCATATCTTGATTGTAATCCAATGCCAATGGCTGATCACGCATCTCTATAAAGGGATTCCACTCATTGCTGCAATTCAGATGGCCGTTACCACCCCACAGTATGTGTACATAAGTGAGCTTTTTTTCATTGTTGAACGTCGTCACCAGGATGTCCATAAAGACGTCGCCATCAAAATCACCTGGTACTATACTGGTTACATGATCTTTAAATAAACAATTCAGGTCTGGCTTGGGTCGTAGCAGTGGTTCCTGCTCAGCCGCCAGGAATATTTCCACTGTCATATCTCCATTGTGTTGACTTCCATTTGTGCGTAGCATAAACACGTCTGTTAACTCGTCGGAATTGAAGTCTCCAAACGCCGCTGGCATGCCATACAACTCAATCCCAAACACGGCAGGTGTTATATCGCTGCATTTGGCTATCGAGATGAGTGCAACGAGGTAGAAAAACGTTTGAATCCACATAATTCACATTCCAACAAATAACCTACAATAATTATGTATCTTAAGAATACAAAGTAATAGAATTATACAAGTTACTTTGATTGAAGCATTTTATGTAACAATGATGTAATCTGATGTATATAAATAATCCAATAATAAATAATTCAATTTATTTATTAATGATAAAGAACAAAGAGATAAATGGGTCATACAAAATGCGTAATAACAAAATCTATGAGTAAAACAGTTGTCTAAAAAATATTTTTTCACCTTCTTCAATAATATAACTGATATTTTTGTATTCAATCTACAGCTCTTTCTGCATTGTAACAGTAACTTAATTAATTTTGTCTCCATAAAATATGAATGTTAATGATAATAAATTAAAGATGACAAAGATATCAGCAAATCAGTGCTATAAAAAATTATGGACCATTAATTGAAGAATACAGCGTTGTCAAAATTCCTTTCAAAATTAAAAGTTTTACAAGATTAGCAAAATAATTACTTACTTTACAATAATCTCAGACATATAATTAAATATAAATGTCTAAAATAATATTTTGCTCTTTCAATTTTCTAATCGCGATGAGTAATAAGATTGAACAGGTGATATCACTTTTTTATCTGTGCACTTAACCTAAAACTAACAATAAAGAACCGCGAATAAATGCAGACAACCAAATAAAACGGTTACTTCTTGCAATATTCGTTCATAAATTAAGATAATCGAAAAATATGACGGACTGACAAACAAATATACCTGAGAAATGTATCACGCTGCTGTGCAACGCATTAGTTCATCACTTAACTGATTGTAATGTATTTATATGTTCGACATATCTGACAACCACAATGAACGATAGTTAAGTGGTGGAAGGAACTCAACTCTTGCGCATCTCTAACGGTCAATGAGAACCTGACACCATACGCTGCCATGTTGCTACGGTTATTTAAATTTGGCATCATATAATGATTATTTTACTTAATTTTGTGTTTTTAATAATATTTGTTTACAATATGTATAATGAATTTGGTTTTATCTTTTGCTATAATAAAAATTAATTTTTCACAAGCTTCTTCCTACTTTAATATTAACGCTTTCTCTTTTGAGAAGCGATTAAAATGTGTCGCTAAATTCTTCTTTTTGATGACCATTTTTACGTGTTTTTATTTGGCAACTATTCATTTTTATTCTCGAGCTGCCGCATCAGAATTACTACGCTACAAATGTATGAATGGTTAAATAGTTAAAATTCAAAATTGAATTGTCTTGATTTATTTATTTAATATAACATAATTTTATTTCTTTTGAAGCACAAAAATTTAGCACAAAATAATACTGATAAAATAATTTAGGTCAATACTTTTCAATTAAATAATCAAACTACTCTTTATGTTTTAGTATCTCAGTAGAATGTATCTAGTAGAATTTAGTATCTCATGATAAGCAAAATTAATTTGGAATGTAAGAAGCAGAATGTTTCGGCATGAATTTATATTAGAAATAAAGAATTAAATATTTCGTTCGGCACATGTTGCGTGTAATACATTAATATTTAGAGATAGTTAGAGATAGTTAGATTGGTGTTTAAGATCTAAAAGAGCTATGAGAAACGAGAATAAACGAAAGTATACTCACTTCTTATGTTAAAAAAAAATCATTTTTGGTAAACAATATAACAAATAATAAATTCTTTAACAAATTTTTGAGTTTGAACTCTCTTTATCTGACTTTTTTTTGACATTTTGATCACCTTTCAGAGAGTTCAAATTTTCAGACTTAAAAGACTAAAAATTTTAGACCTAGAAATTTTGATATTAATCGCTTACTCCCGATCATATTCTCCTAATACTTTACCTATTTCTAAGAATTTATATTAAATGATTTATATTTTTTTTACAGAAATAAGAACGTAAGAAAGTAAAAAAATATTTTCAGGACACATAAATAATGCTTTAGTTGGTATAATCTAATAATGTAGAAATGTAGAAATTTCAGCAATTTGTAGGCATTTCTGTGATTGTATATTTTCATATAATTTGACATGTTTTCAAACATAAACTACGTGATTAATTTTTTATTATTCCCTAACATAAAATATT